AATATAAGGTTTAAGATTATTGTTAATTATAAGTATAGTTCTTTCAGCAAAGTTTCTAAGGCTTGTTTAAAAGTAAGAAAAGTATATAGTTTTAAGAAATTTTTGAAATCATAATATATTTAATTTAGTTTTAGTTATATTGAAATTTTCTTTTAGGTAGTATTCTTCCTAAAGCTATTTTTTAAATAGAACATTAAAGCCTTGTATATTATAAGTTACTATATTAAGATTAAGAGTAAAGTTAGTATGATATAGTAATAGAGAACTTGTTATTAGAATAGATAGATTTAAATTATCATTAATATCAGGAAGTATAATATTTGTAAAAGATTTAAGAGGAGTATTGTAATATTAAGAAAAGATAAAGAGGTTAATTGGTATATAATTTGAGAGAATATTATTAGTATAGAGAAGATATATATATGCTTTATTAAGCTATTTGTTAATTAAGAAACTTGTTAACTTAGTGAATTTCTGTTCTTTTAAATATTCTATAAAGAAGCTAATTGTTTAGTCTGAGTTAAATAAAAGAAAATTATGATATTTAAGAAAGTATTATAATAGATTAGTACTTCAAAGAGTTTTATTATAAGATAGCTATACAATACTATTATACTAAAACCAGGAATATAGATTTTGATTACAATTATTTAAAGTTTAATAGAGAATAGAAAGCAAATTTTTCTTAATAAAAATTTAGATATATTAATTATTTGACTTATTATTAAAAATTTTATATCAATAAGTAATCTCATAAAAGAGGTGTGTTAGATTAAGCTAAGAGATATTAAGGCTTAGGTTACTTGGATCACAAGTATCTAAAAGGTTTGGATCATATGAATAAGAGGTTAAATAAACAGCAAAGTATAATTTAGAACTTAAAGATATATTAGTGAAGTAGTACTAATATAATATTATAAGTAGCAATTATTTAATAAAATTAGAATTATTATTATTTTATGAAGAATATAAGACTTTATTTTTATAATGAAGTAAAGGAAAGACTTAGTTTTCTTAGAGTATTTATATCCTTTATTTATAATAAATTTTACTTATAAATTATTTTACTAAAGAAATTTTACTTTAATCTAATTTATTTATTTAGTTTATTATATTTATTAAATCTCTTTTCACTATTAAATTTTTCTTCTTCGATATATTTAAGAAACTAATTTAGTAAATTTAATTTGATTAATTCAATTAATTAACTGATCTTCATATTTGCATTAAATATGATAAACTGCAGCTTATCCAAATTGTGTTCAATATGTTACTTAACAAAATATAGAATATTTTTTGAATAGCCAATCAGAATTAAAATTTTGAATATGCACACTAAAATTGAATTGAACTATTTACTTTATTTTACTATATTCCTAGAAATATTAGAATTAGAAGCACAAAAAGGTCTTCTATATATATACTTGCTATATACTTAGTTTTCATAGCTATGCCAAACTTACAATAGCTGATATTTAATATTAGTATATCATATATTCTAATATATCATTGTATTACTAGTCTAGTATTTTCTGTAAATTCAAGTTTTTACATAGTAGCTAACTCTTTACAGAACTAGAATCTTCTAATTTTAGCTTTTATATATACTAAAAGTATTCTAAATATATATAGTTAGAATAATTATTTATTATAAAATTTTATTATATTCACTACTTTACTTATTACTTTAGCTCATATTATCTTTGTATTACTTTTTTAAACAAGTTTATAATTACTAGAAATGTTAGTACTATCTAATATTTCTAAAGACTTATTTGCATAATACTTATATAATAGAACCTTCTATAATATCAACAATCAACATAATACTAACTTATTCTATAATATCAATTTTCTTCTAAGAATTTCTTTTCTAAAATCTTGTACTTTATATAGATTTTACTACAGAGCTTTACATTCAATTAATAGTTTTCTTAAAATTATGGAAGCAAATATCTTCAACTAGACTCAAACTATTGACCTTGTTTGTAGAGGTTAGAGACTTAACCAACTAATACTAGTAGAAAGATAGCAAATAAGCTACAAATCAGATATCTGATTTTATATTAATTATTATCTGATTGCTATTTGATTTATACAAATTTTTGTTGTAACAAAAATTTGTATAATTAGTTAACAATCAGATAGTAATCAGTTTAAAATCAGGTATCTGATTTGTAGCCTATTTGCTATCTTTTTACTAGTATAAGCCATGAGACCTAACCTTTTAATTACTTTTTTTTTTTTATTACACATTTACTTAATAAATTCATGTATTATTAAAAAATTAATTAAAAAAGAAAATTTAGCATCAGGTAAATTCCATTGTTAATTCAATTTAAAGTTACAACCATTTGAAATTCTAGTAAAATGTGACACAGGCCAATTTTTTTCTTTCTAAGTAAAATATTTTATTTATTCCTGTATAATAAGTAAGTTTTTTGGTACTAATAGTAATAAAATTACTCAAATAAGTCATATATTATGACCTATTGTAATTAGAACTGAAAAACTGTCTTTTATTTACTTTAAAAAAAATATTATATTTAGTCTTTCAATCGATAATTAACATGCACTATGTTTTACTATAGGAATTGTTTAGGTTATTTAAAAATTACTAATTAATTATAGTATACATTATATTTCATTTATCTATTAGTTACTGAAGAATGAATGCTTAAAAGTTCTGATATCGATAATGTTTTGAAAAAACTATTGATTGAAAATAAATATCTGTTGTCGTGGATTCCTTATAATGAATTTAAAAATATTAAAGAAATCAGAAAAGGTAGATTTGCAAATATATATTATGCTAAATAGTATGATAAAAGACTAATAAACAGACCTGTTGCACTTAAATTACTTTACAAATCAAATAGTTGTAATGAAGAATTCATAAATGAGGTAAAATTTTTATCAAAGAAATTATGCTATTATTATTTTTAATTAACAAATAAATTTCTTTTAATAATAAAGTTAAAGGTATACTGCGATATTGGTTTTAAAAATCTAAATTTTTTAAAATATTTTGAACTATAAAGAGACAATATCTAAAAATTATATTATTGTTATAGAATATGCCACAATGGGATCTTTACATAAAAATTTTACTTATTTAGTATAATTATGGGGAAATTTTACATGAAAGATCTGTTATCTTCAAGCAAAAATCTAATTTACAATCTAAGTTACAATTTCAATTATAAGTATATAATAGTTTGAGACTATATGTCTTTGAAGGTACAGCTATATACTATGTAGACCTTATAAAAAGATGTTGGGATAAAAGTGCTATTTGAATTTTACTCAATTGCCTATGAACATAATACTCAAATTTAACTTATAGCAGTATTTTGGAATGTTTAACTATAATTAATTAATTTTAATTGCTAGCTTCGCAATACAATATAATGTTAATAATTTTTAATTAGATACAAGTTTAGATTTCTATTTATAATACTCATCGTATATAGGAATAAATTTATTTCATTATTCTAATCATATTTAACAATAGTAAAAAACAGATTATATAAATTTAGAAGACATAATTTTATTTTAAAAAAATAGATAATGAGTCAGCTCAATTGTTAAAATTATTAATCAAAAAAAATAACTTTTAACAATTGAATAAGCAAATTATTTTTTTTGCATTTAATAAAAAATTAAATGAAAAACAAAATTCAAGTTATTGTCTATAATTTATTCAATTCACATTTGCATTTATTCTGAAAAGAAACATAATTAATTTACAACCAAAGTTATTATTACATATTCTGTTAATATTGTAAATATTGTAACTTTCTGTTACCTATATAAAAAAAGTTCCAAATTATATTTTTAATATTTTAGTAGAAATATATCAAAGATGTAAATTTTGTATAATATGCATAATATTAATAACACAGTAAAGTCAGTTTAGATTTAAATCATATCATTGAGAAATAGCTTTTGATTATTAATATGTCAACTATCAATTATATATTAACTATTTAGACAAAAGTAAGTAAAAAAAATTTGACATTCTCTGTTTTATAAAATTACATTTACACAAGTATAGTATATAAGCATATATGTATGTACATAGCTAATAAAAACTAAGATTGAAACTCAAACTCAACTTTCATATGATATTAGTTTTGAACTGGACCTCTATAAAACAGGACTTTTAATGTTAACATCCTTAAATTACTGATTAGAGATTGAACTCATATTCCGTTTATTATATTTTAGCAAAATAACATTATTTCAAACAATATCCCAAATTAAGCTTATAGTAATTTAGACTGAAATTCTAAATTACACCTCTGTGCATTATATAGTACTTATAAATTTTATGATAGTTTTAAGATAAAATCATCATTATACAGAGATTGTATCTATTCTGATACAGTATAATACTAATCTTTATTGCAATATTTATCTTAAATTATAATATAAAACATTCAAAAGTAGTTAAAGTAATCCTTTTTTCAAAAATTTGCTTTGTAAAAATTATGCTTGGAATAGAAATAAAAAAAAACTTCCTAAAATAGTAAAAATATTAATTCAAAAATTAATAAAAGAATGCAGATTTTTATCATGCTAGTTAAATAAAAAAAATCACTCAGAATAAAACATAATGCAAGTTATTTTATAATATTTTAACAAATCATTCATTTCATTTTGCATTAATAACAAAGTTATTTACATTGTTATTAAATATATCTATTTGATTATTAATAATATTTTTGAGATCACCAAATTTTTTCAATATCTCTTTAGTAGCTTTTCAGAATATTATTAATCTGTAAAGATAATTCATAGTTGATAATTGATCAGAATTTGACTGTAATAGTAACTTAATATTTAAAAAGAGTAAAATATGATTGATTTAATTCGAGTTATTATAATAGATAATTTTTAAAAAAGTTTCTAATAAAGAAAAATCATATTAAATTTAATTTATAATATTTTTAAACCATTATAAATAATTAAATTATATCATAAAGAATTATTTCAAATCAGGAAATACATTTAGCAGATGTTATTAAGTCTTTATCAATATATAGAAAATGTTCCTTTAACAATTTATCTAAGAACTTATTACCATGAAGGAGGAATCTGATAACTTTTCTTTGATCACCTTCAGATTTAAAAATTGTTGATAAAAAGGAGAGTCTAGCTGCTTCATCATATAAAAATTCATATTTACGATCATATATATTGTATGTAGCTAGCTAGTCTAGCCTTTTTCTAGATTGAAATTTATCTCGATATATTTTTTTTGTGCTCATTGATATTTTTAAAAATATATCATCATAATTTTGTTTGACTCTCCCATTTCCTTCCTCTGCTGTTCTAGTTTCTCTAAAAATAATGATTTTAAATAAAATTTATAGACAAATCAAAAAAAATAAAATAAAGTAAAAAATAAAATACTAGATATCATGCAATTCTAACTTTGAAAAGCAAAGATCACATATTGTATAATATATAATATTATGTATAATTTCATGCATATATGTATCCTCTAATATTTTGCTATTCTCTTGTTGTCTATTGTCAAATAGTTTAGATTTTCAAATTTTCTTTCTATAATAAAGGTTGATGTTATATCTTCTAAATAAAATATAATTAAAAATGTAGATACCTACAATTCTATATATATATTCTGTATATAAGTGATTCTTCAAGATCTAAACAATCTAAAATTTTTAGTTATATATTGTCTGTCTCTACAAGGTCAGCAATCCATTTCTTCATTTTCTCATCTACTACTTTCCAAGAAATGATCTTATCACATTTTATCATCTTACTTAATTCCTCAGGCAAAAATATACTCATCATTATTTTATCTATCATATCTAGATCAATAACATCAGAAAGAAGAGAATGATTAAATACTAATTTATTTATATAAGAATCCTTTTCAAAGAATTCGGTGATTTTTTTCATCACGTGAGTTTGATTTTTTTTTAAAATCTCAGGGTTTTTATTTGCTATCTATAATAGAGATTGTGAATTCATTATTAATAAGTATTATTAATATTAAATATCAATATAAATTACTTTTATATCATTAAATATTTATATCGTTTAAGAACTTTTTCTTTTTTTACATCTTTGCTTTCATCTTTATTGGCAAACTTTCATTTACGCAAATGAGAGCTTGAGCTTGAATTAGTAGTATTAGAGCTAGAAGTTACTAATAAATATTTATGATTGATATTATGCCAAATTTAAATAAATATATGATCAAATTTTTATTTATAAAAACCAAAAATTACATTCTGAATGAGTATCTTCCATTATTTCATGTAAGTTAATCTGATTTGACTTTAGTTCATTTTCAATTTTTTTCATTAATTTATAAAAATTGAATCCTCCTGAATTAGATAATACTCCTACTCATAATTTCTTAATATCTTCAGAGTCTTTTTCTTCCTATCATTAAAAAGAAATTAATAAATTATGAAGTTTAGACTACACCAAAATCTCAGCAAATTTCAAAAAACAGGTTCAAGAAGATAATTGTAAAGCAAGAATTCTTCTACTTATAATATATTAGGTAATTATTAAAAGATTCAGGCTATACTAAGATCTCTCTAAATGAGACAATAGTAAAGCAAGAATTCTTTTTAATGGTAACAAAATAAGAAAACAACATCTATTTATAAAATATTATACCTTACTCTCAATAAGACTTTTTCAAGATTGCTTTAATTCCTCATAAATATTTGGATCTTCTATACACAATTTTAAACCAGTACAATATCTATCAAACATTATAGTCCTTTTGTACCATTGCTTCTAGTTATTTATGTTATATCCCAAATAATTAAGAAAAGAATAAGATGATGAATGCTAACACTTAAAATAATCCTCTATAAAGTTTATTAGACAGGTCTGAAAAAGAAAATATATAATGATAATTCTAATTAAATTTTGTAGTACATATCATTCTAAAAGGTGAGAAAAATACAGGTTTAATCTATTTATATAATTCAGAGTTTGTCTGTTTAAACATTTTTAATTAGTTACTAGCAAAATTTATTAAATACAAAATAAATAAAGATCAATAATAATAAAGTTATATAGTACTTCAATATACATTATCATTTGTATAATATAATTCAGAGTTCATTTATTTTTTTTTATAGTCTTCTATAGCTTTTTTTTTTTTTTACAATCTAATTCAGAGTTTGTTTGTTTAAACATTTTTGCTATATTTTGTAATGTAGTGTTAAGTCAAAATTACTGTAGTTAAATAAGCATGATAGAAATTGGTTTTTATTGGTTGTTTATTTTCTATTGAAAAGTACTGTTATACAGATTTTTTATATTATTTTACAATAGAAATTTTAATTTGAATTAGACAAGTTAAAATTTTTTATATAAAATTTTACTGGATTGTTTTTTAGAAGCATAACTTTCATATAAATGTTTGGAATCAAGTGTTCTGCTAACTTTTACTAGAAGCGATTCTGACTATACTAGTATATAACACAAAGGTATTACATTAAATTTTTGGCTTTTTAAAATGAAATAGTTAATAAAAATACACTGTTTTTTCGATTAAAAGTTTTGAACTTCATATGAGCAAGCTAATAAAATGTTAGATATTATTAATTAGTCAATCAGTTTTACAAAAAAGCATATAAAGTTAATTTTTAGCTTTAACCAATCAAAATTTGTTATTTATAAAATGTTGATCAATTGTTTAACCAATTAAACCCAATTTCTATTATGCTAATAAAGGAAAATCAATAATGATAAAGTCAGCATAGTGGGCTTTATTAAAATTGATTGATTTTTGCAGATCATTTTATCAGAAAATCCTATTATAGTACTGATTTTCTGTTACAAAATTAAATTCTAAGTGAATTCCTAAAGGGTAAGACAAGCAGAATTAAAAAGTTCATATTTTATTTTATAAACTGTAAAAGTAATTCAGTAATCTGTAAAGTAATTCAGAAGTTAAATAAAAAGTATTTTATTTTATCTTTGAATAAGATATACTTTAATGAAAAGGTTGAAATCTATACTTAGTGGACAATCAACAAATACACAATTTTGATAATAGATAAAGGTATAAAAAATTGAATCTGTAAATATTAAGCACTAAAGTTTTTTGATTATTAATTTGTTTTGTTTTTGTATATTAAAAAAGGGTAATATTGAAATATAAGAAGAGATATCAAATATATTGAATTAGAATAGTAAATATAGCTTATAGATGAATTTTTACAAAATACTAAATTAATAAAATAACTTAATTGTATTCAAAATTAGAATTGTAACAATATATATATATATAATAATTAAAAAATAAAATAGAAAATTTATATTATAAAAGTTATAACAATATATATGTATAACAAGTAATAAAAAATAATATAAAAAATTAATTTATTAAACATATTAAACAATTATTTAAAATTTTATTTAAAATTATTTAAAAAGTTTATTCACTATTGTTTAAAAATTATTTATTAAAAACAACCAAATATTTGTATACAATTTATAAACTAATTCTAAATCTATAACTTGTATCAAAATTTATTTATAATTATATATTTGCTAAAGTATTTATAGCTTATTACAATTACCTGTTTTGTTTAAAAAAAATTTTTATTACTAGTATCATTATCAGCTTTAGTAGCTTCTTATTTATTAAAGCCTTAAGCCTTTGCTTTTTTATTTAATAAATTTAATGTTTCTTGAAAAGCTTTATAATTTTTTTTTATTCTATATATGAGATAATCAATACAATATTTGCACTAGCCTTCTAATTTAAAAAAAAATTTATAATAATAAGCATATCTACAAATTAGAACAAGATCTACTTCACAAGAATTTATGCAATTCTCTAGATTATAATATTTGTTATTATGCAGAATATGTGATATATTATAAACTATTAGCAAAATATATATATCAATATTAGTTTTTAGCATTAGAAATTTATATTTTTTTAGCTTTAAATATGTATTAAAAGAAATAATTTTTAATTTACTAAGATATTTATAAAAATTTGTAAATAATTTTAATAAAAAAATATAGTATATTTTTTAAGATATACTAGCTATCTTACTAAATATCTAATATTATAACTTTTAGCAAATATATTTATAGAAGAATTATTGCTATACATCTAATTAATAATTTGTATTTCTTAAATAATTTGTTCTGCTATATTTGATTTATGTATTTGTTACTATAATAAGCTATAAAAATTTTCTATATAATAATTATTAAAAACATAAATTAATTCTGTAAGAGTTTGTAAAATAGGATAATTAGTACTAAACTAATAAAAAATATTATTTAAAAATATTAATAATAACTTATTATAATATATCTATTGATACTAATAAAAAACAATTCAAACTTAAAATATTACTTTCAGATATGCTTACTAATTTCTATTACAAAAGATGATAAAGTAAAAGTTTAAAACTAATAGAACAATATTATCTAGTAGATTAATAATCTAACAGACTTCAAAATCTTTAGAATAGTTAAATTTTTATATAACTATAGAATGAATTTAAAGCTAGCTTTGACATACTAAATCTAGAAGTTTTAAATTTATATACTTCTATTCTATTAGCTTATATATAATATATCTAGTTAGTATTCTATATACATAATATTTGTTTATCTTGTTTTTAGCTTTATATTATATAAGAAAATTTGTAAGATAGGATGAATTTAAATTTTTACTTTTTATAAAATTCTTTAAGTTTTCTTTAAATGTGAGTATTTTTTATTAACTATTTTCTAAAATTTTCAAATTTTCTATTCTATTATATATCTTTTTATATACTCTTTCTTTTTACTTAATACTTCTTATATTGTTTCATATTGTAGTTCTTCAGATATAAATATTTTTGCTTTAGTACAAAAAATGATTAAAATAATCTAAATATAAAAATTATTAATATATAATCCTGTATACAAAAACTAATAAAATTCTGTTAGTAATATAAACTACTTTAAACAAAAAGAAAAATAAACAAATAATTAAAATTTGGTGATCTAGTTTAGTAAATAGATTGTTAGACTATTATACAATAGGTTTGGGGTTCAAATCCTATTATTAATAATTTGAATAATTTCTCAAACCTTATATCTAACTTATAGTAAACTCTGCTTGTTTCTAGTAGTTACAACTTTGTAAATTATATTGTACTAATATTAATTAGATATTGAAAGTATAATAGAATATTTGAGTTATATTATATGAATAAATTAAGATAAAATCTACAGATAGAAGACCTGCATAGTAGAATCCTAAGTTAGATGAAATAGTACAGATTTTGATAGTTATGCTAGTTAATACTTGATCTAGCAAAGAAGTCTAGATATATAGAATGCAAATTGAGTAAGTATGAGTAAGTCTATTATATGAGATTATATAGCAATACTAATTTGGCTTAGTAGCTAACTAGATTGGAAGGATTTGTCTTATAAAATATTTAAAAGAACTAGAAGACTAATCTAGTAGAGAGCTATAGCAGAAACTAGATTTGTATAAATATCAAATAAGAGTATATACAAGCTAAATTTGAATATAGCATAGTATAG